CGCGCACTTTTCATATCGTGACGGCATATCAAAACTATGCCAATGAGCTTCATGCAACATTCAATCTGAAATACTTTCATTAATCATATAAATACTCACATAAATACATGTTTCTTAGAAAAGAGCAAGTTTCTTTAACATTGAAGCAGTTAAAGTTATTGTGTACTTTTTTTTATTCCGCTTAGAAATTGTAAAATATTTTTCCATTAATCGTACAGTGCATTTCTGCGCTTTTAATGAATATTAATGGAAAAAAGATGAAAAGAAAAAAGATATCAAGGTGTTCAAGATTTAATTAAAAATTAGCACGCCATTTTCTTTCATACATAAAATGAATAATTATGTATATGAGAATATTGTATCAGAGATAAAGATAATAACGTGCATAGATAAAAATAATAATTGGTTCATTTATAGCACGCTTTACGTACCTCGTTTTTCACCAGGTTCGAGAACAAAAACGCTCGTTCCGGCGAGTAGCACTCCTTCTTCGCTACTAACGCTTTGTCCGTTAGTGGAGGAGCCACCCTTTATCGTTTCCTCTTTGTCTCCGTCGCACACGGGGGTACCGCAGCTTCCTAAGCATGCAAATCTCCGTTATACCATGGCAAAACATATTAACACGATCTCTTATACATTATCGATTGATAATTACATTAGAAATTTGTCACGTTATACTGAAAATCACTTTAAAACACCTGCTGTTGTAGTAAATAATTTTGGGACCATTTTCTACATTTAATTTCCGAAAAGTTAATTCACAAAACAATAAAGGAATAAATATCATTTTCCCGAAAATATTCTATACGCAATCAGTATCACGCTAATTGCCAAAATTTTTATTCTAACCAGTTCGCGCTGTGATTTATACGATTGCGGACATAAAAGGCAATCCCTCATACATAAAACAAACGAGAACAACTGTCTGTCACAGCGTTACAACAAGCCGTAAGAGTTGAATGCCATTCTATAACCCACGCAACATTCGTAACGAGATGTTAACAGGAAACCATTCACCGGATCAGTTTACCTCTGCACACAGCGATGTCGCATTGGAAATGCACCTCTGAACTATCGGTAAACCGGAACATTGAGAACAATGTAGCATCCGCCATCCCGGTGCCTCGATCGTATATGAATTTCGTCATTCGGACTTTCACAGGACAGCTTCACGAGAAAAAAAAAACACATGCACAATTAGTGGATGAACGCAGCGCTACGATTTTAACAAAACGCGCATCTTTCTGTCAATCTTAGCGTAATGAAAATAGAGTTAAAATTAATTTGAACTTCTCTTGATTCAACGTTCTACTATCTATAAAGTTCTAAAGCCACTTCGACAAAAGAGGAAACTTGTAAAGATTAAACGGGAGGAACCCGAGTTTTCGTTCCATGCAATAAAAATCCTCTTGAAGTTTTAATGAAAATACTGCTCGGGGTTTGGATTTCTAGAGGAATATTATTTCATCTTACTATCATAAAGAATTGTTCATCTCGAAATATCAAATATATCGTACATGCAAATCACGATATTACAATATCGTATTTCATATAAAAAAATATATGTAAATTTTTATATTTCAGTCGTAACATTAATATATCTTTTCATAGTGCACTTAAAAGCGCTTACAGTGTTGATAATACAAAATTAGTTGGTTGATGCTTTCTTTTTTCATTTACATATCAAAAAGTTATGACACGCTTACCCTTTATCGTCTATAAGCTGCACGCTGGAGTTGAGCTTGTTAAAGGCAAAGCAGTTTTTCACTCGGATCCCGTACATACCTGTAAATTGAATGTTCAACAAAACAGTGCTCCGGTCGGAGGATCTCGCGGGGAAATAGCTAACGGACTTGTGGCCGCGTCCACTGAACGTAAAAGCAAACGACGGATATAAAATACGAACCGTCTGGGCGTGAAATCTCGGCACGCAGAGTGTAGTTGCGACCGTATATAGCTTCTTGTACCCTGACACCGCCGTCCAAGAGGCGCAAGGAAACCAGGGAAGTTTCATTTCTATGCAAAAAGTGTCGCTTTGTGAGCGCAAACTTCTTCACGTATCTCATAATACATTAGAATCACGATGCGAGCTTAATCGAAATTGCGTCGAAGCGAATAAGTGTATTAAAAAAATATGTCAACAGATCAATATTCCGACGTTACACACGTGATAAGGACGGTCGCGCGGGCCGCATAAGATCATGTTTTGACTTCCAAAGTAATACGGATAAAATCCAAAAAGAATTTATTCGGATGTAACGTTATCGTGACGAAGGTAATTGTCATTTGCGCAGTGTTTTATCCAACGACAATTGCATACTAATTGTTGTCCGCATTTTGCATTACGGAATAAGAAAATAACTTGCGGTAAACCGTAGTGTCGCGAGCATGTTAATTACGAATTCGCCTCTCCCTTTAACTGGATTTTTAGATGTTTGATTTTTTATCATGCGAACAGTCCTTTTTGACAATTAAATAACAACACCTGCATTTTTATATATTATGCTGCTTGTTATATTATTATATGATTCTTTACTCAGAGTACAATACACGGTTGAATAATTGTCAATCATATTTGGCTTCTTGAATCGAAAAAATTTCACGATATTATATTATTCTAGCACTGCTAAATACACTGAATTCAAGCAATTTTATTCATTAACAATATTAATATCACAAAGTATTGGAAGATTTTTAAGAATGTCCCAATTGTATTGAAGCGCATTCGAGCAAGATATCGACACTCTAATAAATCGAAGTATCTTTACTTGTAATCAACGTGTCGCGAAAGCAGAAATATACGGCTGAGTGGTATCGAATGGCGAATATCAGCAGTCGATTAGAAAACGCGTGGCCGCTAATGACCGATTAAGAGCCACGCGAATGGTATTTCTCCTTTAGATAGTGCCGTTCGCGTGTGTCAAGCTGTTGCTGGCACGAGTTACTCTTATATCTCTCGTGCGTTTGGCAGAATCTACCGATTATTTACGACAGTACTACAGGCAGTCCATAAATAAGCCGGACTTTCGTATCAGCAATCAATTTATACAGTAATTTATTTTGCCATTAATTAGCGGTGAAAATATCGTTTATTTTATACGGATACGAGTACTACTGTGTCGAAACATGCAATAATGTATGTTTCATGTGGAGAGTCGAAGAATGATTACAGACATTCAAATGAAAAAAAAAGTCTCTAAAATCCTTTCTTTCATTATTAATTTTAATTATTATAAAATCTTTATAATTAAATTTTTTTTTTAATTAAATAATGTATCACGCATTAATATTTGTTTCATAATAAATTTTCGTGTAACTTACTTGGCATTTTTGAAGCCTGCTTTTCCACACGTAATGACGTAAAATTTATCGTCCGCCAACTCCAGAGTTTTGTGTATCCTAACAGCAATGGGAATGGAACGCTCTTCTGTGTGCTGTAATGTCATATTTAAATATAAAAAGTGATAAAACATTAATTAATTAATTTCCCACAAGCACTCGTTATTTTTAAATTCTTCCGCTCTTAAAATATATTTTGATTTTCAGGTACAAAATTAGTAAAGATCAGAGTATCAGTAAATTTACGAAAGTTCCTTGCAAACAATTATACGCGTGTGTATAGAAACTTTACTGGGGAAGCTTTAGGATCTTCGGCTGCAGAGCGTTACACTTGCAGAATAAATAGCTCGGCGGAAAGAGAAGGATTCAGATGCAAATCGCTATTTCCATATATGATGGATTCTCACGTTATTGTAGAGACGTCCGCAGTGGCCACGTAAATTAGCATACTCAACCCTCTCAAAATAATTAATTCTCCGGAATTTCTCACGTAAATAAACGCGAATATTAATTTCCTTTAAATGCATCGTCACGAAACGTATAAAACGTAAGTGCACCTCGGGCAGCGGAATACGTTTTTGTAGCAAGGCACAGCGTCTCGCGTAATGAGCTGTATTTAACTTCTGCTAAAGCAATCATCAATTCCTTGACATTTCTTGTTACTTTAAGAATCATACATTTACGCTTGTCATAGAAGCTTGTTAGACGTGCCAATTAACTGTCAGCGAATTTTAGATATTCCCTCGGCGATATAGGCACTTGGCACGACAATCTTGTAACAATCAATCCAGCAACAGGTATGATATCCGCCTGAGGATAGTGTGACTACAAGCCATAATTGTAAAAGTTCATTTTATGAGTTCTGATTACAGAATTACCGTGTGTCCACAAACTTTTCAATTTATTCCCAGCTCATCGCTAAAAATTGCCCGCAAGCTTGTCTCACGGCAATCGCGCATTGAGCATATAAAAACAATATTTTTTCAATTCTTGTGGCGATTTTTACAGTAATTTCAACGGAGCGGCCGATGCTGCTTTTCTCTCCACGATTCCACTGCCCGTGGCGCCATAATTTCCATAATCACGGAATACTCACGTTGTTCACGAGAACGCCGCAGTACTCGGGACTGTCCTTTGACGCGAACAGATTGATGCCGAGGGTGGCGTGCGTTGTGCCGTTGCCCGACACCATGCATTGCGGGGTGCGGTGGTCCCGCGCGTGAACCGCGCCCACGAAACTTTGATTGAGGTTGACGCGGATCGTCATGTAGCCGCCTTTGCACGTCGCCGTCACCGTCGGCTGGAACTCCGTGTCCAACAATTGTCCGGCTACCTGCAATCAAATAAGAACGGGAATGAAACTCGCAACTCCGAGCAGCGCCAATTACCGCATTCTGGAGCGTAGGGCCGTGGAATTTCCTCGGCGCGTTCACCGCGCTAACGATTCTCGCGGCCGGAAATCATCATCGCCGCGGGACCGCTTCGGTAAATATTTAAATCAGGGTCAGCGTTGCGCCAACAGCGTCGGTTAACTAACTCCGATCGGCGATTATTCGTCTTATTTTCAGATCACGGCCGTGAGCACGATGCTGATTAAGAAAGACGGTCTCGGATCGCGAGATAATCGGGCCTTAATGTGTCAACCTGAAGATAAAAACATGCGTCTACAGCGAACTTCAGCGACCAACTTCTCGCTGCGAAGGTAAAACCCGTCGGAATTTATCTGTCATTTTTACCGTCCCTTCGGCTAGTCTCTTAACTCGCTGCTTTTTTTTTTCTTTGTTGCAAATATCGCAAAAACACATGAATTTCTCTCTTACTTCGAGACGCTATATCGGCCTCGCGAAACGAGGCAAGCGTCTGCATTCTTCGTGACGCGAGGCGTACGTCGTTTCTCGTAATATCGGTCCGTACAAGACTCGGAGCGATCTCCACCCCCGTCACTATCCGGCTAAGGAGAACTCGACGAACGCCGGCCAATGATATTTCTTCGGGCTGGATCATCGGCTTAATGTACGAGTAAACTTGGACCGGTCTGGGCGGTAGCTATCGGCCCACGCTAACTTTCAATTTCATGCGGCCGGGCCGCTTCGTAACGCGGATATAACCGCGCGTTTGTACTGTCAGGAACGCGCGATGAGACGCGTATCCATGACGTGGTCTTGATGTTAATCTTGAATCGATACACATCGCCGACTGCAGCAGACGTATATACGATTGTTATGACATAATAAAAATGAATAAACTATTGATCTCATCGAGATTATTTTTACTTAAAAATAATATATTTTTCTAGTAGATTGTTAAACGGAATATCTTGAAATCAAGTGGCAAACTAAATAATATGAAGATTATTTTTGCGTCGATAATTTAAAAAATATTCAATATTAAAAATTAAAAATTTGTTTTTGATAAATTAAGCTTCTATGCCATAAATATACAATAAAATCTTGTATTTCAATTCATTTTTCTTCTATTTTATTTTCAAATATATTTTATTTCAATCCAAAATCATTAAAGATTGTTGAACAATCTGGAATTTTTTGTTGAGTTTAGCATGAGTATACTTCTCGCATTGGCAATGTACCAAAACTGGTATAATTTTATCACCTCTGGCAAAAAAAAAAAAAAAACCGCCCGGAGCCTGCGAGACAAAGGTCCGCACGTAGGCGTTCGGCAAGGACGCGACGAGTCCCTAAATGCTCCGACATTATTCGAGGAAGAGGATCTCGCAGCAAGTGGTTAGTTTGCTCCGTTTGCAGGCGAACTGCTCGCCGAAGAAGAAAGGCGGCTTAGCGGTCCTCGATTAGTGGCGGATGCTTTGTCTATGTGTGCGATGACAGGTATACGATAGCGGACAAGAGGATCGTGGTCGCCGTTGGGCAAGGCCTTGCGAGAGCCATATCCTGTGGCGATCCACAACGTATGACATTATGCGCGTATAATTTAATAGCTTTCGTTGTTGCACGAACGGCGCTCGTTCGTCTGGAAGGAAATTGTACGATTGTTATGTGATGTCGCGACGTGCGTGACGTATTTCCGTAAAGAAATATCTTTCAATTCATGCATTAATATCATAGAAGGTTCGAAGTGGTCGTAGTGGACGAACAATCGATATGAATATCGATTTTATTTCAAACAATTCATTCCGTTATGATGTGTTAAATTTTGTTAAGTTAATTTAATGAAAGTTAATGGTACTACAAGCAAATAATCACCCCAAGCAAGTTGTCAGAAATATTTTATATTATATAAAAAGTGAATGTTTTATGATCTATAATTTAGTTTCTCGTTTAATTCGAGGAACATTGTAAGATGAAGCGGGGCATCCGAAGTAAAATCAGAAACTGATGTTCACATTAATATTAGTACGCGAACGCGAATGGCAAAGCAACAATAACTAGCAACATATTCGCGGAGCTCGGAACTTGCTATTGTATGACATTTAATTGGCAAAACAATACGAATACACGCTCGAACTTCCTGCAGTATCCATATCGCGGTCAGAAAACGTTCATTCGTTCAATCGCGAATAAATAATTTAGTGCAATAGTGTGCATTATGCGCAGTTACATAAAGTCAGAGTTGCTGCAACAGCACGTCGAGTTTGGCACGGAAACATCAGTTCCGCCTGTTAAACTGGACTCTTATCCTCCCCATCTGAAGGATTCCATTATAAATATCACGTGTGCGCCGATTGTTGTTCGTTCAACGGCTAAACAGCTTAACTTGGACGTGCGCGCTAATCTGCGCATTGCTCAACTTCCATCCACGCGGCGGGTCTTTCACAAAAATACGAGGCATGAATGGACAATCTTAAAATAACGTGCAGGATGACATCACATAACCGCAACGTGAATAACAGGAGATACATTAGCCGCTTGCCAGCAAATTGATTAGATAAATGCACATACCGCGTAACCAGTTCGACAAAAAATCGACGGCGGAAATATGCACGGAATGATGTTAGCAATTTATAATTGGAGTCTCTTGTATATGTTTTATGTACATTTGAAGATAAATAAGAATTACACGGTAAATTTTATATCTGAAGAGAACAATATTACAGATTATTTATGCAAAATGCAGATTTGACTCAAGAATTATTACGCGCATTGCAAATGTGTAACCGCGCTTTTAAAATACGCGGCGGCCGATCGCGATAAATGTGTTATACAACGTGGATAACCACGAGGACGCGGGAACTCGTTTGAAACAACAATTGCGATCGGGCCGGCAATTAATAATTCGCCGGGAGGGTTGCGCGCACGGGTACGCTATCGCGTATCGACGCCGTGTGCGCAATAAATTGATAACTTTTTCGCCGGGGCTTTAATGCGCGAGCGCAAAAATTCACGCGTGGATAACGGCAATGCATCAAGATTTAATCCCGCCGCTCTTGTGGCCGCGATGTTTCAACGCATTCCGAGCGCACACACCCAGTCCCGGGCGCGCGAGCCGCAGAAACAGGAACAGCAGGATCTGCTCGTTCCTCGCTCTGTCGGATTGTCGATCGGAGACTTTCGGCTGTCGGCGACATGTCTTTCAATAAATAAGGTTGCCGCGGCGCAACAAGATACAAAGAACGCGGAATAAGATATAACGAGCGCGTTGCGCTCAACGCATGCCGCTCGAAATGTATTTATTTATAAATTTAAAATATTTCGTATTTTATAAATCTCAGTTTCGGTTAAGAATTGTGCGGATAAAGTTACTTTTATCAAAAGGAAAAGTTTAATAAGCGGGGTACGTAAATGAAATTATCCTCTGATTGCATTGATTTTATCGTTGAAAAATTATTTCATTATTCCATTAACCCTGGGGTCTCAATCGCCTCTCTCTCTCTCTCTCTCTCTTTCTCTCTCGATTCTAATAACAATAAGATAACAACTACAAGAAGCAATCAACCAGCGAGCAGGTGCGAAGGATAAAACAAATGGATGCTGCATATCGCAGGGTACAGAGGGTCATTTCGATAATGCAATTGACTTGAAATAAATTATGAGAACAATGAATTGCATAATAAATAAATATCTCCATTTCACAATGACAATTGTACAAATGCAGTGCTCGCTTTTAATACTACGTATTGATAATCTATACATACACATAAACAGCACGGTCTTCTGCACATGCTCGTTCAAGCATTTTTCTTGTATTACCCGATATACTTCGCGATGGATATCTCGCTAATAAAGATACTCCAATAAAGTACGTTATCTCTTAATGAGCGCGGTTAATTACCCTTAGAAATGGATGGATGATCAAGTACGATAAATTATGCTGTAATACGAACATACGGCTTTTGAATTTTTAGAAATTGTCTAGCAGCGCGCTCCTGAGTGGCTCATTTATATTTTCCTAACTTTTAATTTCCAGTGCAGAAACTAACCACTATTTTGCATTGGATCGAATATTTTATCATCGCATACTTTAATATTCTTGAAAGAGCTATATTGTTCCGGGTTGATTTTAAAAGATGTTCATCTTTTAGCCGCTCATCCTAGACGAAAACTGGAACAATTTGCATAATAGATTCAAAGATCCGCCTGCGAGTAATTCAACGAGGGTTGATGAGATGCAGGACAAGAGATATCGAAAATGCAGATGCTTATCACTGTCGCGTCTAGCGTCGCCGGTTGTTATCGCACGACTGCAATTTTTTCATCCGCGACGTAACGAGAATCGCAAATGAAAGTGGCAGCGAATGGTATAGCGTGTGAGACTGAGCACGCGTGAGGTCTGCGGCGCGAGCGACGTTATAAAGGCACGAGGAAGTCACGTCCTCGAGGAACAATACAGCCGCGTCACTCTCGCAAAACACGGGAAATAGTATGGAAGTATCGAAGTTACAATTGTCTTCCCTGACTCAGCGAGATTCTCCCGCAGCGGCTGTTAGTAATTGTTTACGTGACCCGCCCGTTCCTTTAATACTGAAAGACGCTTCGATACTCATTTATTACAAGACAAGCAACAGGGTGCAATTAAGGTCTAAAACTACTTTTCTTTTTCAAGTACAATAAACACGGTAATCGGTATCTACGAGCTTTGCGAGAGTCTATAAAGAAGATTCTTGAGATCTTAGAAAAATGTTATTGCTTCCAAAGCAAAAAACAAAAAAATATATAAATATAATTCATTTCAAATGACGACAAAATAGATATTTTTAATTCAAAATTAAATATTGTAATAATAGTCAAATAAGCACACACACACACACATATAATACTCGATTCATTCTTAATGTTTCTACATTATTTTAACAAAATTTGTAAACTTTCTAAAAACAAAATCTCTCCTAGCTGTTTCTGTTTGAATAATAATTGTTCATCG